TCACGGCTCCGTCTAACCCCCGCGGTTTCGCGGCCTTTCAACGGAGGGTTAAAGAAGGGGAGGAACGGCCTTGCTCCTACGGCCATAATATATCAATTTCGTATTCTAATGTCCAGCCGGTTAATTCGAAAAGCGTCGACGCTGCGGAAACCGAAGCGGTCGTGGCATGCGAGCGCTTCCTACGCGTAGGGTGGACCATCCCCTTTGTTCTCCTTCCCTTTCTATCTTACGGTTTCGAAGAAACACGGGGTGCTCGGGAGTAGTTCCGATTCCCGTTCGCAGCCTCGGCGTCACGTATGCGTCGCTGATACGCGTTCACCGGTGTCGCGGATAATTGGGGAACGGCTGTTTGCGGTCCCGCGGGGATGCTCTCAACCCCGAAACTCGAATGACGTACAATCTGCGAAGGATTTCGGGGACGGAAGTCGTCGCGAAATCGCGCGAGCAAAGCCACGGCCGGTGGACGTTCGCGTGGCAGGAAATTTTCGAAGAAACTGTCCCTCGTAATCTCGTCGTATTCGTTGCTTTTTAATTCCGCATGTCGATAAGACTGCCGGAATGCCCGCGATGGTTTTGACATTAGAAAAAAGCGATGAGTAATCTGTAGTAAAATCCGGCGACGGAGTCGAGTGACATAAACTGCGTCGTAGATGGCCGCTTTATAGTCTCGTAATTCTCATCGTAACCGCGGCGGAACGATGCCGCCGCGTTGTCCCTGTGACCGGTCCTCCTGGACGACAGACGGAGAAAGAGATGCCAGGGCGTGCTGGCGGCGGGGGCAGGGTGCTGCGGGGTCGAGGGACGAGAAAAAGGACGAAAGAGTCCTTGGAGTGGCGCGAACTATTAAAAAGCGCGCGTCCGCTCAAATTCTCGCCGGTAGTAAATTACCCGAAAAAAGAAATAACCGTTGAATTCGACCACTCTCCCCGCCTCTGTCACCCTGCCGCTTCCCCCTCCCCTCCCCCCACCGGCGGCTCCTCCTTTCTAAAGCCTCGTTTCCTTCTCCCCTCGCGGAGTTCCCAACCCCCTTGGTCCAAGCGTGGCTCGCTCGAGAGATCGTCGGTCTCTCTTTTCTAGGGTAAAAACCCTCTCGACGAGGAGCGCGCCGCGGTCTCAGATAAAAAATTAGCCGGAGTTGCAAACGTTTCCACCTTAAATCATATATTTATCGCGACATTAATTCAACCCTTTTAGGTACCCTTTTTTCCTGGCCGCCACTCCGCACCCGAGACCGAAACGCCTCCGCTCCACTCCAACCCCCAATCCCCTATGAGGCTCCTCTCTTTTTCCACATCCTGTCCTCGCTCCTCCTCCTTCTTGCTCGGGCTCCTGCGACCAACGACGTCCCGTTAGTCCTCTCCCGCTAATTTCTCAGATTCGAGTATTTTTATGTACCGTCGCGCGAACCTAACGGGGGTAAATCCTCTCGTTTATTATTTAGAAGGGGAGCACGGCACACTCGGCGTGGTACGTACACGCGCGTGGAAGAAGGGTGGTCAGGACCCGCGCGCGTACGCATACACACACACACACACACACACACACACGAGCGAAGGCGTTTACCTTGTCCTTCTCTCCTTTTCGATGGGGATATACGATCTCGTTATCTCTTCTTACTTCGACTCCCGGCGATTATCCTTCTTTACGGTCGAGTTGCTCGATCGTGCACCCCCGTGCACCCCCGTGCAACCCTACGATTCTCGCGAGCCGTGTACAGGTTCGTCGAGATCCATCCTTGAACCCGCGTTACGTCTGGGACCACCGGTGTCCCTTGTCTTCTATTTTTAACCCCTCTCGTCGTTTCGGTCCCACGAAAGATCCTTTGTCTCGTTAATCGATCAACGCGTAATTTCCTTCTGTCTTTCGACTATAGGACGAGATAGAGAATAATCGGGACGGTTAGAAAAATCGTGGAACCAATTTTATATCGCACAGAGAGAGAGAGAGAGAGAGCGAGGGAGAGAAAGAGTGGCAGCAAGCTTGTCCACGCTCGTGCAGCGTGACGTAACCAAACACCATCGAATCCACGAGAGCGCATTACTCACAATGAAATAGGAAACGAGACGTATGTACCTTGGAACCCCGGAGCAACGGTTGTTTACTTAATAAATACATATTTAGTATATGCCACGTATACAAGCCTGCGCAGGCCGGCTGCGCCTATTTTTGCCCTCAGTTTTGTTGTCATAGGACCAGGCGATGGGTCGCGGCACCCCTCGTCGAACCACCATTGGGTTACGGGATACACCTAGCTGCTCGACAATGGGAACGGCTAAAGCCGAGGATTTGCCTCGGATAGTTTCGATAGACACCCGGTATCGTACGTCTAATAAAGTCGCTCGTTCGCAATTTCTCTTTGTCACCATTTTTCTTCTCGCTTCCTCTTTTTCTTCCTCCCTTTTTCCTCGCTCCGTCACGTTCAAACGACGGAGGACGAGGTTGGAGAAGGGTGACGGTAGGAATTAAAAATTATTCGTTCCTTTGCTACCATCGGCGTGCTTATATCGTACGATGCGTCTAGAATGAAGCGCTTTCCGGCGAATCAGCGGAAAATTTTGAAAGCATAGCTGTACGCGGTACCAATTGTCGTGCGCTTGAAATACGAGTGAAAGGAATATTTAAGGACACGACGTTTCGAGGAATATTTCGTCCCCCATTTCCGGTTCGCCTATACAAACTTGAGCCGGTGGTTCAGGTTGCGTCAGACAACACGTGTACACACGTATTTACGAAGCAACAGTGTGTGCGGCCACCTCCTCGCGTCCGTGTATACATCCAGTCGGGCAAAGAGCGGAATATTCATAATTTATTAGTAAGTCCGTGTATCGGAACCGTTCGAGTGTGCCTAAGAGAGTCATAGTCGACTTATCTCCGGTTATCTCTCTCGGAATACCTACTCGTTAGATCCCATCCGCTAACGACTCATTCTCTCTAACGTTTATTCAGCTTCCTTTTATGTAATTCGTCCGATCCATCGAGTCGTCCGAGTCCTCGACTTTCACGACCTGTCCGCTCGCTCGCCTCTCTCGCCTCTCTCGCCTCCTGGCCGTTGGCAAATCCGTAATCTCGAGGGAAAAAATGGGAAATGGTGCGGGTGTAACGGCGGTCGCGACGACCGAGTCGACCAGTCCGTGCTCGTGACGAAGTTAGGCGTCGCGAACAGCCGCTTGCCAAACAACCGTGCGACGATGTGTAATGTTCGAACACAGACGAGCATATGGGAAGAGAAGAGAGCAGAAGGCGCGAGAGAGAGCAGGCCAAGCGAAGCTAAGCCGAGCCAGCCAGTCAGCCAGCCAGCCAGTCAGCCACACAGCCACGGTACAACGTGCCTCGTATATGATGTACTGGTTTGCCTGGCGGCGGTGGGGTCAGGGACGTGACGAAGGGTGGGTGTTACGGTGGAGCGAGAGGGGCAAAGTCTTCAGACACGACTGGGGTAGGGGAGGAGGACAGGGGCCGCGATAAGTGGGGAGGGGGGGATGCCGACAGAGAAGGTAGGGCACAGAAGAGTAGAAGACGGCGTAGCAGGGCGGGGAGAGGGGGGAGAGCTGAAAGCAGGCCTGTTGGTTGGTTTCAACTATATTTGTTTATATTTACACAATAAGCAACAGCCTCGCCGGTTGGGCTGCTTGGTATGCCTGTGCCGCTTTTAGTGTTTAGTCCTCGCTACTCGGTCGCCGCGTGAACGTTGCTTTTCGTCTTCTTTACGGCGTCGCTCGCTTCCTCCTCTCCTCCGCCGTCCGTGCCTTTGCCTCCTTCTGCGCGTTCCTCTCTGCCGTTTCTACGCGTCGTTCTACCGTTTCTCCGTTTCTCGCCCGTTTCATCCTCGTCCTACTCCCTCCCCCGCCCGTTCCCTCTCCTCCTTTTTTCCATCGCGTTCCCCGTACGCACGAGTTTTGACGGCTCCTCCGCGTCCACGTGCGTGCCCGAAACGCCCGTTTCCACCCTGTCTGTGCTCGTGACCCCGTTTCGAGGTGCAACGAACGAGGGGACGAATGGACGCGAAAACGCGACGGATTATCCGGATATCGAATCGGTGAATCGCGAATCGCGAGTCTCGAGTTTGGTGGAACGTACGAGATTCACCTAGTCGCGCGAGCGTTGCGTGCCAGCTGTGGAGGATCGCGGTACTTCCGGTATGGTGATTCCTCGCCGTTGAAGACGCTACCCCCTGGCCCCCACCCCCCGCCCGAGTGGTGTCCGCGTCTGTTATCGTCGGCGGCCGTTGGACCGCTGTCTGTTTGTGTCGCGAAAAGTGTTGCGCATCGGGAAGTCTATTCGACCCCACGGGTCTAACGAAGGACGTCCCTACTGGCTACTGCCTCACGCTTTCTGCGTATCGCGATTCCATGAATTTCGCGCTCGCACTTGGACGGCCGAACTCGAGGACCAAGGACTTTTCTTAAAGTAAGCGAGCCTTCCGAAACGAACGGTCGTGTTTACACAGACGCCTGACGAAAAGCAAGAGCGTGGTCGCACCGTTGTTAACTCGTGGTCGCGTGAGAATGCAAACGATGGAATATATTATTAGCGTCCTGTGAGTACGCGCGCGCGCGCGCGCGTCTGTGTGTGTGTGTGTACGCGTGTGCACGCGTGTGAGTAGAGGTGTGCGCGTGCCGCGAACTAAACATTGTTTCCTTTGCCTCGAGTGTACGAAATCACATGCGTCAGACGTGATCTAAAATTGTTCCTCCTGCGAGGGTAATATCGGATAACGAGGCACATTTCGAGACCCTCGTACGAACGGCGATCCTTTTCTTTCTTCTTTCGCGGTGATAGTTACCGGGAACGATTACCAACCGAGTTTCCGTGCCTCGCGAATGGCAAACGTCCCGACAGGACGGACAGCACCGGAACGTACGAACGGGGGAAAAATTTCGCGGTTTGATGTAACACGCGCGAAGCACACGGTACGCGCGAACGAGTTCAACGGTGAAGTTCAGTGCACCAAAGAGAAGCCAGCGGCCCGCGATTGACGTAACCGATGATCGTGATTTCAGGACGATGGCATAATGGATCATGACACAGACGGAGACGGCGCGATCAACTTGTCAACGTCACAGCGACCCTCCGCCGCCACCACCCCCAACGGTGACACCCCCTCGTACGGCCAAGATCAACAAGACAACGACCAGGTAAGGAATTAATCTCTGGAAATTTGCTTTCGATAAGATAACCGTGCGCGCATCGCTTTCTTTTCTTTCTCAAACACGTCGCCCTCCCGCGATCCCCATAATCTCCCCACGATTACCACGGTCTCCACGAAATTTCATTGAAAATCGGTAACGATACGCTCGACTTGATCGTACGCATCGCGTCGTTGAATCACGTTTATCTTCCATTCTCGACTCTCTTTCTATTCTTCGTTCTTCTCCTTTTTCCATCCCCCCCTCTCCCCCTCGCCCCTGGATCTATGCGAAACGCGGAGATCGGGTTATTAATAACCGACGACATCACTCCATAAATAGTACTAATTTTAGAAGCAAACATCTGCTTACGCACGATAAAGCGGAACCCGGTCGCTAAGACGTCCCGGATAGACTCATTGATTTCTCGGAATGGTGGAATCTCGCAGCGATAAGAGACTCGACACCGCGATCTATCCCTATCTCTGTCCTACGGGTCTCGTAGGGAATCGAAAACGAAATTGAACCGTTCAACCGCCGCATCTTGCGTCTCGATACAACACCGCGCGGCAGGAAACGAGTAAACCGATAACGATCCTCGACCCGGTGGAGGGTTTCGAGGTTAAAGCGAAAGTTCCTTTTCTTTGCCTCCGAACGCGGTACTCGCGACGCGTTTGACACCCAGCCGCCATAAAATCGAGCCCCCTTGATTTCAAATTCAATTCGAAATCCCGCGTTCGCGGCTGAACGCAATATAGCGTTCCGGGTGGCGGCGAGCGCCGCCGAGGGAAACAAATGTTTTATGGCCCTTAAAGCGGCCTTTTCGACGGTTTCCTTTTCCAATGGGGGCACGTATATACGGTCGCACGCACCTCCCAGGCCAGGTATAGAGTCACCTTCGGAATGCATATACGCGTGACACACGCGGGACGGCGCGGCTTTCCAACCTCGCGCGTGTATGCGTCTCTCTTTGGACACTTTGTGTATAGGGGTCTCGATGCGCGCGGCGAAAAACAAAGGGATGGTTCTTTAAAAAAAATCATTCCGCGTGACGTGATGTTAATTTCCCCCTTTCCTTTCACTTCCTCTTTTATCTTTTTCCTTTTTCTCCTTCTTCTTCCTTTTCCCCCCGTTTTCATCGATCGTCATTCAGAGTCTTTTACACCGTATTTTTCCCCCCATTCATTTTTCCACGAGGAATCAACATTCCAGGCTTGGTTCTACCCCATTCGTGTGCGAGATCGCTCGATAAGTCTCCTTTCATCGATAACGTCCACCGGTGGGAATAAATTATTTTAATAATCGCACGGGACACATTAGCCAGGGTATTTTTATTCGTACACCGAGTTTACGCGCGTGTGTGCGTAGATAGTAACGGTGAATATCAAGTTCACGTGACGCACCAGGTAAATACGTGTGTACCAACACGGGCCTGTGAATTACACGTGCGACACGTACATCTGCTCGCCTGTTGGTTACGTGTAAACAGAGATTCGCTTATCGTCACAGCCTGACACGTATACATAAGTGTACGAAGAGCGGGAAGGAACGGCAGGGAGAGAGAGAAAGAGAGAGAGAGAGAGAGAGAGGGGGAGGATATTTTCAGGATTATTTTAACGACACACTGGTCTAGTTTCTCCGGCGCTTTTTTGTTTAATCCGTTCGTTGATTCGCGGCTAAAATAAGCCGGAAAGCGGCGTAAATAGCGTCATCGCCGGTTCACGCGTGCCGAACGCGACGAAATAATCGAACGATCGCGTTTCATCGCGCGTATATTTCTCATCGAAATACGCATCGTAACTTGAATCGATAAATAAAGGCTTTCGGATTGGATTCGGTGCACGGATCCAGGCGAAGGTCCTTCGACGCGGCGTGAGATTCGAGACGATTCGAAGATCGAGTTTTGAGAAACTATCAAGTTCTGCTGACCACTCGCCGGCTCGACCGCGACTTCCTGTCCTCCATTGTCCCATAGAGGGACCAGTCTTGCTGGCCACCGTAACTTTAGCGTCGATGCTGATGCCCCAACTCGTCCGCTTCGCTAATGCCTTCGATTGTTTTCTTCGGCCAATTATTCCCAATTACCACGTCCACTACCATTGTCTTCCCGTTATCGGACCTGTTCGCTTCGCAACAGCTTTACCACCGTGTCTTTTCAAGGTTCCTCGTACTCGCTCCGATCGAACAACGATCGCGTCCTAGTATGCCTCTGCCGAGAAGAGATCCGTGGAAAAATGTATCGCGAATATAGGTTGATTCGAGGAAGGATATCGTCGCGTTCCATTATCCTTTCTTGGAAATTAATGAGCCAGTGTTGGCGCGAAGATTGACGCGGAAACTGGGGGACAGGAGAGAGAGAGAGAGAGAGAGAGAGAGAGAGAGAGAGAGAGAGAGAGAGAGAGAGAGACCGACCACGCGAGTCGGAACACCGAAACCGAGATCTTGGTTGTCGCGAGGACCAGCCAGCTTAAGTTTCTGCGGTTTCCAAGTCGATCGAAATCCCGCGGCGTTCGCTGACGTTGTTTATAATTTAAGAGGTTCCCGGAGTCGAGGGTTGTTCGCGAGGGTTCGGCTGACGTCAGTGGAGACCTCGGAGACGTCAACGACACGGAAGTTTCGCGGTGGTTGCGCGAAACGAAACGGGAAAACCGGATGTACAGGTCGACGATCGGTTAGATTGCGAATCGTCGCTGCGAAGCCTTGGACGTTCGTATTTAGGGAGTATCGAGACGATCGAGGAGGGGATTCTACGGATGGATTATCGAAATAAGATATTCGTTAATAATACAGCCGTGAATTTGGAAGTCGGGACAGCGCGTTTTCGTCTGACCCGTGGAAAATAAAGTGCCTCGACCTGTATCCATTTTGATGAAACGTCGTGGCTAAACTCGGTGAAGGCGAATACGGCGATTGCGTGTTAATATTAGCCCGATAGTCGATACCGCGAACATCCTGAATCGTTGCGCGAGTGAGGACAGAAAATAGAATTCGATAAATCGTTTCCTGTAACCCCGACGTTGCGTTTCGTTCTAATTCGCGTTACGATATTCCACGGCGACCACGTTACGTTATCTCGTGGAACCTAGGGGACTCGATGGAAGAACAGCGAACGGGTGGAAAGAACGCGTTGAAACGTCAGAGGCTGCCTCCTCTGGCTGATCCCTCGATCAACTCGGAATTCGTGATCACGACGTCGGCATTCGCTGATTAAACAAACTTTCGCCGGTGTCGATATTTCATTAGAATCACGGGGCCGTTTATCCCACCGGTTAATATCCAAACGGGTCCGCGTGAGGACGAGCAGGAATCCGGCAGGATCTGGCCGGATAAGAGCAGCGCACCGACATCACCGTGGGTATCGACGAGGTCGCCTCTCCTTCCTCCGAATGCGAAAAGGGGTTGCGTCGAGGCAGAGGCTGAGGGATGCTTAGCGGGAAGGAACGCCGGATGAAAAATAGAAAAAAACTGGGGGAAGAAAGGGGGCGTTGGTAATGGTGATGCTGCCGATGGAAGTGGCGGCGGCGGTGGTAGTGGTGGTGGTGGTGGTGGTGGTGGTGGTGGTGTTGAAGGTGAAGAAAAGGAGGAAAGAAAGTCTCGATGAAAGACAAGCGGAGTTCTCACCTCCGATTCCCCTCTTTCGGCTCGCAAATTGCGGATAGGCTGTCCTTTCCAATCAAGCCTCTGCTCCGCATCCCACACCCCTCCCTCCCCCCCATTTTGCTGCCCAATTCTTCTTCCCCGTCCCTGCTTCCGTTATACTTTTCCACCCTCTTTGCGCTACCACCCCCGTATTCGAGTGCCTATAACCGGGCTGCAGCCTGATCCGCATCCTCGCTCTTCCCGCTCTCTTTCTCTCTGGCTCGAGAGCCGAATCCCGTCGTAACTTTTACGTAACACGCTTCGCTATGAATATCGATGCCCGGGGAATTAAGGAGAACTCGCTTTTCTGTAATTGAAAGAATTTTTGTCGTGCTGAGCCAGCTGGCCTGCGCATAAAAGGTTTCCTTCGTTTTCGCGCTTGCTCCCTGTCTCTAGCTCCGCGCTCCTCTTCCTTCTGTGTCTCCTCTTTTTCTTTCTCTTCTCTTTCTCTTTTTCTTTCCTTCTATTCTCTTCTTTTTTTCTTCTTCTCTCTTTCCAAGTCGGGAGCGAAGGCTTTTTCCTAGTCGCGCGAGAGCACAGACGTCGGATGACGACGGTGACGAGGATTTTAATAAATTACCGAAACCGTCCGCTGACTGGCGACTTCTTCCGCGTCACGACCGTTCCGCGCAAGATGGAACGCGATCCTCCGCAACGAGATGCTCTTATTTCATTTCTCGCCTACCTTTCCGTACCCGGAACTCGGCAATTTTCCCAATTTTCCGACAGACGGACCGACGATTCTCCATCTCGTCCAGTTCGCTCCCGACAGTTTCGCCTCTTGAGCGACGTTAACGAATTCGTTGTTTCGTCTCTTCGGCAAATCGCGAGAGAACCACGCTGTCTCGTTCGCGTCTCGATCCTCCGCGAACGTCTCTGGTCTCTGGCGAAAGTCGTTTATTTCGATCGCGAACGCTAATCGCTTCCCTAAACAAATCGTTATATTAAGGATTAATCTGCGACGAAACTCGATAAGCGATCCAACTCGGTGCCGTTAGCCGTCGCAAATTGCCGACGATTACGAAGACACAAGAAACGGGTATTTATTTTGGGACCGTGCCAAATGTTTCGGCGATGTCTGTCAATTTCTGGAATATTCAATCGACGGAGAAACGGTGGACAGGTCGGGAGGGGGGCGGCGCGGGGCGGAAAGCCGAGAAATTCAAGTTCGCCACAACATCGCGACGTCTCTTGCGCAGTCCTGGAAGTCTCGGTTTTATCTACATTATTAACCGGTCGAAACCTCACGGCTGTGTACTTAAATCCAATCTAGAAATCCCACCCTTCTAGTCTCCCACCTTGCTACCCCCGAGGGGCGAAGGTCGTCGGAGACTGGCAAGGGCGATTACCCTCCATTATTCACACGCTCG